CCAGCCTCCTGCACCAGAGGAGCAAGAGGAAGGGCTGGGATGGTCTGTTGGGACACAGATGGTCACAGGGTACGTGTCCCACAGGAAGGTGGGACGGTGGCATGGAGAGAAGTGCTGAGCTAGAAACCCCCGTGGCCCAGAAACGCTCCTGGAAGCCCCTCTGCTCCCAGGAGCCATCACTTCACAAGAGACTTAAAACCCTGCAAAAGCTGCCTCAAGAAGGATGACAGAGGGTCAGACACAGTCCTCCTGTCACGTGTGAGATGGGTGGTGTCACCCCAGCCAGTGCCACCCGCTTGGACACGGGTGCAGCCAGGCCGCTCTGGGGTACGGGCACTGTCCAAAGGCACTTTCAGACTATTTTCTCCATCGTGCATCCAGCCCACTGTCCTACCTTTCGAGCCAATTAAACTGGTAGATTTCCAGATTTAATTTCCAGATTTCAGCAGAATCCACGGCCCGAGCCGCTCTTCAAGGTGTCGAATCAAAATGCAATACTATAAATCATTAATGCACCCCCGTGTCGCAGTGAAGCTGGAATATTTTAATCACCGAATAACGAAGTCAATACTCACAAATCTCTGCTGTCATTAGAAGATGCCCAGCTGGAGAGGAAATCTTGCAAGATTTGCCCAGTGGAGGTGCACCAGGAGCACTGCAGCAGCAGTGGGACACAGAGGGGATGGGTTCTGCAGCCCAGTTTTGTCACCAGCAGTGAGTCAGCAGCCTTGTGCTCTGAGCAGCGTGTTGGACTTCTTAACAAGGGCATGCAGTGACAGGACAAGGGGGAATGGCTTCCCACTGACAGGGAGCAGGGTTAGGTGGGATGTTGGAAGGAATTCTTGGCTGTGAGGGTGGTGAGGCCCTGGCACAGGTTGCTCAGAGAAGCTGTGGCTGCTCCATCCCTGGAAGTGTTCAAGGATGGATGGAAGGTGTTTCTGCCCATGGCAAGGGGCTGGAAGGAGAAGACCCTTTAAGTTCCTTCCAGAGCATTTACAGCTTGGATAAGTGATGCATTTTCGAAGTGAACACCACCAGACTTCTTGCCTTGGTACCATGAGAGTTTTTTCCACTCCCACTGAGGACAGACTGGAGCCAGTGCAGAGTGGGAATGTCTCACATCCAAGGCCAGACACCATCCTAGAGCTGGGGAAGCCCTGGAGACAGCAACGTGGAGAGAACCAGAAAGGGCAGATCTGGAAGCTGGTGAACAGAAGGCAGAAGGGCAAAGTTAAAACAGGTCTGTGAAGGCTGGGACGTGCCTGCAGGCACTGAGAGCTGCTGTGTCCCCGGCACAGATGGAGCGTGTGGCTTGGAGCTGCAGCAACCACGCAGGAGGGAGGATGGTCGACCCTGACAGGGAAAAGAGGGACAGGCATCAAGCACTGCTGAGTAACACCAGCTTCCCCAAAGAAAGGAAACTCCTGGAAGGACAGAATCAGGCTGGCAAACAGCCACGGCCAGCATGGAGGTTGAACAGAGAGAGAAGAGCCGATCTCTCTGCCTGACCCCAGGATGTTCACAGTGATGCAATGATCAGGTGTGTGGTCCCACAGCTTCTAGGACCCACCTTGTGGTGTCTTGCACTGTGACAAGAAGCCTGAGAGCCCAGCACTGCAATGCTGGCAGGATGGGGCTGCCATCCAGCTGGATGTCTGGGTACTTGTGGAAGCTGCATGGTCAGATTAACACCAATGGGACAAGAGGGCAGTGTGGTCCAGGACAGAGGAACCCACAGTTTGATACCTCCAGAGCTGCATACAAATCTTATTTACAGTAAGACAGAGCTGGTGTGGCCTGTGGGAAGTGAAAGAGGTCATAACAGTGCTCTCATAGGGCTAATACCTTGGGCACAGAGCTGTCAAGTGGTCACTTGAACCACAGGAACCTCCCAGGCTCTGCACAGAGCAGACCAAAGTACCACACACCCATCCTTCTGGATAAGTGGCATAACTGAGAGTCAGATATTCCTCCCTCAGGAACCAGGTAAGACAAACTGCCCACCTTGAGTTGTCCTGCTTCATTCTGCCTTGCCACTAGGATTGCACTGGAGCCCACACCAAAGGTGTTCGGGTTTGGTCCGTTTCTAGTCGAGCAGAAATATGGAAGCACCACTCTTGATTTAGGGTTTGCTTAGGTTGGAGAGGGACTTCATTCAAGGGCATGTAGTGATAGGGCAAGGGGGAATGGCCTTAAGCTGAAGGAGGGTAGATTTAAATTGGATGTTAGAAAGAAATTCTTCCCTGGGAGGGTGGGCAGGCCCTGGCACAGGCTGCCCAGAGAAGCTGTGGCTGCCCCATCCCTGGAAGTGTCCAAGGCCAGGTTGGACGGGGCTTGGAGCAACCTGGGCTGGTGGAAGGTGTCCCTGCCTATGGCAGGGGGATGGAATGAGATGAACTCCAAGGTCCCTTTCAACCCAAACCATTCTGCAGTTCTGGGACAGTGCTCTGTGCTGCAGTAGGGGAACCCAGCCAAAGCCACGGACTCAATCCTCAGGAAAAACGGAAGAGATCTGCCAAAAAATTGCAATCACAGAATCGCAGAGCAAGTTGAGGTTGGACAGAAACTGTGAAGATCATCTAGTTCACCCCAGCACCCTACTCAGATCCTTGCTGGGCTTTTTCCTCCCAACATCACTGAGCCCTCAGAGGTGCCTCACTGGCATAGCTGGGCACGCCACAGGGTGCAACAGCACAGAGGCACAGCAGGACATACAGCTGGCATCCTCCTGTGGGTGGCATCAACAGTGCCCATCAGACATCACTTCTGTCTCACCCTGTTTGAGGTTGTGATTTCACAGCTGGAGGTTCCTGGAGCTGCTGCTCCCCTGGACACAAGAGGCCTGAAGCAAGTCCTGCCAAGTGATCCGTAAATTCATTCCAACCTGGACACAACAGGCTCTGCAGCACTGTAACAGGGTTTGGCCCTCCAGCAGGGGTGGTCAAAATATTTAATTAAAATCTGGGGGGGGAAACCATGCTCTGAAGGGATTTCTTTTTCCCTCAGGCTGCTGCAGAAGTGTTCGCGTGGGTGGCAGAGGATTTTCACCTTTGGTGCGTGAGTCCAGTCACCTCTGAAGAGAGGACCCTGAGCTGGACCAGCATGGCAAATCCCATTTCCTCATCGATTTTCTTGAAGGATGCTCTGGAGGAAGCTGGGTGTTATGTATTTGTGTGAGCGAGGGATATGAGAGACTCGTGCAGTGAGATTAGAACCGACACCGAAGGTCGTTCTCTCCTAAACCCCTCTGTTAAGGCGTTAACAACTTAAAAAAAAAAAAAAAAAAAAAAAGAACCCTTTGTGCTAGAGATGTCTCAGGCTTCATCACAGACGAAAGGTTTTTTTTGAGGGGGGAAACTGAGCCAAAATGTCCGTGGATGTGTTCTGCATTATTTGAGCTTAGAGAGAGAAAAAAAAAGAAGGCAGTGGGGAGTGGTGGGGGAGGGCAGGGAACACTCCCTGGTAATACTGGTTGTCATAATCCTCTTTTTCCATCATCCTGCCCAGCAACAGCCGCTCTGCTCTGCTCCTCCTCCGAGACCAGGTGGCCTCATGTGAGCACCTCCCTCCTCTCCCCTTTCCCGCTGGAGCCACCCAGAGCAGACCAGGTGGGTGGATCAGGGCACCTGAGCATGTGAGACACCCTCCTAGCCCATCCCTTGGGCAGGCAGATGGAAGATTCTGGGCCCCCATCATCACCCTCACACTGTTGCCCCCAGAGCAGGGTGACCAGGCTGCTTCCCTGGCACTCAGAGGCAGGAGGTTCGTGGTCTGAGCAGACAGTTACTCTGGCCACGCTCCCACAAGGTTGGGAGGGGAAAACTCATGGAGATGTCCAAGCCCTCAGGGTCCAGGCCAGTGTTCCCAAGGCACAGGCAGATCCTACAGCCCCCTGCTGAAGCCCATCAGCAGCTTGGGGCTCTGTTCATCCCCCCTGAGCTGCAGCCCATTGATTCCAGATGCTCTTGGATTCTTTTTGCTTCCCATCATGGCAGGCAGCAGTTTCCACATTTAAACCAAACCCAGTTAGTCCCCACTCAAATTACAGATCTGAGTAATCCCCCCAGCCCAGTGGAAGGGATTGTTCCCAACAGGAGACCTCTCCCTGCGAGCACCTGGCCTGAGCACAGCCCCAGGAACGAGCTTGTGACACAGAAAAAGGAAATTGTGTTCGATCTTTTTGGCAAGATGAGCTGTCTGCTCCCTGAGGGGGAAGGGGAGCACTGGATCCCTGCTGGGGCTGCAGAGTTTTGGGAGGGGGAGAGCAGGCTGAGAGACAGGAGGGCAGCGTGCTGGGCTTGCCCAGGGCTGCGTCCCACATCCCTACACAGAGCCCCTGCTGACACAGGGAGGAGTGCAGGGACCCTGATAACCCCACTGCTTCCCAGAGCCACTCCAAGATGCTCAAAATAATCTCCGGAGCATCTGCAATTCTCTTGCCGAGTGCTGAATCATCCTCCTGCAATGTTTGCATTAGGAATGCAGGAGTGGTAGAGCGTTTTGCAGCGAGAGCCGGGCAGGGGGGGACAGGCACTGACACAGGAGCCACGAGGAGCAGCAGCAGGAATGTGCTCTCTGTGCTACCTGCTCTGCTGGCCCTGCAGAGTGCCAGTGCTTGGCAGTGACCCGTGCACATCCCAGAGGGGCACAGCCAGAGAGGCTGGACACGTGGCAGGGCTGAGGGTTTGATTTCTTCATCGTGAAATAAGTCACTGTGAACCCCCAAAGCAAGTCTGATCTGTCCTCATCCTCCACTAGAGCTGCAGGGAGACCCAACCTCACCTGTGCAAAGCTCCTGGGATCCCAAATCCAATCACCTACCACGGGGTCCCATCAGCTGCAGGAGTTCCTGGCCAGCTGTACCACCAACAATCTGAAGCAGTCTGCTGGGGGAACAGCAGTGCCTCACCTTTAAAACAGAAAAGCCCTCAGAAGCACAGAGAAATGGATGAGTAAAAAGGGTTTATTTATTTAGACTTTCAGCAAAACTTTGACAGAATCCTGCACCGGGGGATTTGAAATCTTGCAGCGTACCCTGGTTATGCACAAGGACACCAGAACTCGTGTGTGTTTAATAGATCTACTGAGATATAGCAGATAGCAAAGGATTATCTGGGTTAGCTGATGTGAGAGGCTGGAGGGAGCTGTGCAGGGAATTCACTGCTCACAGAGACTGGCTGTTGATAAATGGGAGTTCACACACACTACAGAGATCATCTGACCTGCTCCTGTGTTATCACCAAACTCACTATCATCTATAACCCTGCTGGAGAAAGCCCCTTGTGTCACTGGACAGCTCAATAACAGCAGCTTTAAACACTCAGGGACAAAAGAAACAACCACAGGTCTGAAGTGCAATGTGCTGAACCAACGTGATGTTATTATGGCATTAAGTACCAGTGGATGGGGCAGCTCTGCTCTAAACAGTGCCTCGCTGGAGCCTCTGAGCTGGAAGAAATAAACACACAGGTTGGACCAAGGGAACAAACCCCACATTTTTTGGGTCCTTACAGCCATTCCACCCGTTTTCCACCCAGCACTGAGCTCTCCCTGTGACTCCTGCAGAAGATCAGAATGGGAATGATGAACCTGCAATTGGAGACTTCCCAGATGTGCCCCCACGTGTAGTCTCTGCAGAGAGCAGAGCCCTGCACGGGGCAGGAACATGTGGAGGTGCAGGCACACCTCTGCAGCACGAGCTTTGGGGAAGAAGGTCTGGGTGATGGCAGATCAGGGGAAGGTGGGTGAAGGTTCTGGGGTGAACCTGCAGGGAGACCTAGTCCAGGGGAAGGACAGCAAAGCGGAGGGATGAGGGTGGCTGGCAAAGATTGGAGCTCAACTCTTCGCCACCAAAGTGCTGGCCAAGAAGGCCAAGGCCATGGAGGAGGTGACATATGGCCTTGGCCTCCTTGGGCAGAGAAAGCCAGATTCACATGTCATGGAAAGCCATCATCACACCCGTCAGCAGGTTCAGCACAGCTGGAGGGGCAGGGATTATCTCCCCAGGCAGCCTGAAACCTGAGGCAGGGCTCTCTCACCTTACTGCAGCCAAGAGAAAGAGAGCAAACTCCATCTCCAGCAGGAAGCCTCCAGTGGCTGGAAGACCTGTGGGCTGAGATGATTTTGCACAGCCCCAAGATAGATCTAATCTACCAGGACAGACCCATTTGTTGGCAGCTCCTCTGTGCTCGAAGGGAGGACGGGCACACCAGACCCATCCCAGCCAGCCCTCCCCATCTGCAGGAGGCTCTGGGGCCAGCAGGGGAAAGTCTGGGAAGCACAGAGAACACGAGCAGCCAGCCTGCCCAGACGAGGTTCCCATATGCTGCAGGGCTCCAAGCATCCCTGATCCACGGGATGAAGGAATATCGGCCAACAAACTTGACCCCGAGCTCCTCGGAAGCAAGACAGGGACTGACTGCTCCTGTCAGCAGTGGAAAGGTCTCTGCCTGGACTGCCCCCAGTGCCAGGCATTTCCAGGGTGCCCAAGAAAAGGGAAATAAGGCCAAGCTAAGCATTTTGTGCTCTGTACAAATGGAGCTTGACTAACAGTGATGCCCCCCAGCACTTGCCAGAGTGCAGGGATGGCAGTGAGCACCATCTCCCGGCACAGGGGGTGAAGCTGCCACCAGGTCACTCCTCAGCCACGCAGAGCAGTGAGAGCTCCTTTGCTCTCGTGCTCCAAGGCAGGTTTTCCACCTCCTGACTCGGGTTTTGCTGAGCTGGAGGGGCTGTTGTAGACATCACTTCCCTTTTCCAGTGCCTGAATTCACTGGGGACATGCTGGCAGCCTGCCAGACCAACATTAAAATTTGCCAAGACATCAGCATCACCTGGGGCTGCCAGGGCTTGCCTGAACCACACACAGGGTTTTCAGACCATTGGTACCCATTCTCCTCTTCCTCTCCCCCACGAGAGGATTCAAGCTCTGTCCAAACTCCCTCCATGCCACCTCCTTCTTTAACTCTTGGGTGAGCAGTGGCATCTTTGCACCTAATTAAGAACAGGTTGGATTTAAAAATAACAAAAAACCCCAACCAAAAACGAAGCCCAGAGCACTGAATTTGCAGGCACTGTTAAAATAGCACCTTGGGGCTGTGAAATGACACTTTACATGGGAAAGGTCAAGTGCTGTACTCAGGGCACCCTCCCTTGTTCTGAAGGATCCCACAGCAACAGGACAGACACAGGGTCAGAACCTGTGCCAGGGCCTCACCACCCTCACAGGGGAGAATTTCTTCCTATTATCCAATCTAAATCTATCCTCTTCCAGCTTAAAGCCATTCCACCTTGTCCTGTCAGGTAATTCCACCATTACCTGACCTGAAGTCCTCCATGGGATGTGACTTCCTAGCTTGTTAGAGGCACTCTGCCCTTTTCCCCAGAGCATCTGGCAGCTCCAACAGGACACACTGAAGGGCAGGATGGTCCCATGCTCCAGCCTGACCTGCTTCCTTAGAGGATGGTACCAAGGGCAAGGGAGGCACAGGACCCAAAACCCAGTGGGTCACCCAGCACCTGGGAGAAGACTCGAAAAAATTGTATTTTCAAGCACAAGGTGGTTTTTTTCTTCAGTGAATTGCTTCAAATGACACTCTGCAGATACATCTCTCCTTCACCATGTTTTACTTTTACAGAGGAAACAAGGAATCACCAGCCATCAGCATCTCCAGTGTGGTGCACACCAGACCAGGATGTGTCCTGGGAAAATACATCTCCCTCCTGGGTAGGACACGGGTGTTGCTAACGCTGCAATTTGCTCTGCTGTACGTACCTCATCTATCAAGAAGGAACTGGAATGAGGGAAAGTGAGTTATTATCTCCTCATAATGATATGGGAGATACTTGAGGGGCTCTGTGGAGCTACAGAGCTCTCCCTGGGTGTGTGGAGCTGGCAGGATTCTGCTGGGGGTACGTCCACACAGGATCTTGCTGGGCAGAAAGGCAGGAGAGATGGCCCCAAATAGGAGAGGTGAGTCTGAACCACCCCTGAAAGTGGTATCTACAGCATCCCCCTCCAGCTGTAACAACAATCAGGAATCAGGGACCAAAGGGATCACGGCCAACAGGCCCCAAATACATGCTCTGCCCTGGCTGAGCTGCCCCTGCCCTGTGAGATGAATAGAAATAAAGAAAACTTCTCCACAAGCCCTGCTTAACCTTTACCCCCCCCTCCACAGTTTTTCAATAACAAAGGGACATCAGCTTCACCTTAGCTCTCCCTGCAGGTACTGGCTCACACATAAAGGCCAGAACACCTGCAGAGCATTGTCTGGACAATCCACTTCCCACTCCAGAGCTCCCCACAGCCTGTGCAGGATTTCCACAGCTCCCTGCTCCCACGGAGTCAGAAAAGGGGGAACAGCTTCCAACTCCACCAGCCTGTGGGACAAAATCCACTTCTTTCCTCCCAACACATCTGCTCTGAAACCATCAAGACACAGTTGCTTGTTGTGTCATTATCCCCATGCTCATCCCAAGTGCCACACATGAGATGGGTTCCAGCAGCTCCTCCTCTGGCCCCTCTCCTCCTGCTCAAGGGGGGATCCCAGGCTTTTTCACCTCTTCACCTCAGTAACAAGTGCATTTTACCCTCTCCACAGGTGGCCAAGACCCAGCTCCAGGCTCTTTAAGCAGTGATATCCAGGGTTTGGAGGCGACCTGTCCAGGGCTTGGAGCTCTCCTTCAGCTGGGCAGTGGCTCAAGGTCTCTCCACGGCTGGCAGCCCAGGAGCTGGGGAAGGCCTGGGAAGGCTCAGAGGAGCTTCCACAAAGGTGCAGAGGCACCTGGCCACTAGCACTAATCCTCAAGGCCTTGAGCACCATCTCCTGGTCATTCCTGGATTCAGTGGCAACTTAACCTCGTGCTTCCTCCGTGTCACCATCCCTGAGAAGCTTAGGGGGACAAACCATCTGTGGGAGCCCTTCAAGACACGAGAAACACTTCAGCAGGGTCACATGCCTGCTGCTACAACGCACACAAAACGCCATGAGCTCCCCAAGCCCCTCTCCTGGGAGCTCTGCTGCTCCCTTTTGCCTTCCAAGTTATAACAGGGACAAACTCTCTCACTGGCACAGCCACCTTGGCATGCTCCTGTGCCACCCTCTCTGCCTGGTGGCAGCGAGCAGCCAGCACAAGATGCTGCTGGAAAACTCCAGTGTTCACCTCCCACAGCTCTGGGCAGCAGGAGCACTCCCTGCTCACCGTGGGGTCCTGGGCTCTGAGATCTGGCTCCCTGTGTAAATATTGCAGTGGCAGAGTTCAACCTTCTGGCACGAGGGAAAGGAAGATAAATGCTACCAGTCCCCTCAGAGCCACGGGAACCCTGCATCTATCTAATTGCACTTCATAACGGATTCAGCAAACCATTAATTATCAGATTATATTTTAGGAAACTGCAGATAAAAAAGCTTTATGAAATTTAGCCTTAAAGGGACCAGTGTGCTGCAGAGAAGCTGTTGCATCGTGCTGGCAGCAGAGAAGTAAACTTTACAGTGGGCACCTGAATGCATTTTAGAGGGCAGTGCCCCCCCTGTGGCAGGGGAATGTCCACTTGCAGTCACAACAGCTATCCTCCACTCAAACACCTTCATTAGTGCCAAGGTACTGACACCAGTAATGAGGGACCCTGGCATGCAGGCACAGCTCCTTCCCCTCTTTCAGCATGTTCCTGGTGAATTAAGAGGGTGGTGGGACATCCCAGGGCTGTTTGCTTGTCGAGAGGATGAGGATGGCCAGACCTGCCTTGGACCCTCCTTTCCAACAGGCAGCTACAGCAAAAACATGGATGGGATCAGAGCCTGTGCTGCACAAGGTGCTACCCAAACAGCACTGAAGTCATTTAGCCCAGTTCCCAGGAAGTTCCTGCTGGAGAAGAGAGACCCAAAGGTCAGCTCTGTGCTGGAGGAGGTCTCTAGCTGCACATCAGTACAGCTGAGAGCAGAAGACACAAAGCAGCCCTTACACACCCTGCAGAGAAGATACCTGTGACTACATCACTGATTCAGCCATAAAAATCTCCACCCACTGTCTCCCTCTTGGTTTCTTCACAAATCAGAGTTACTTTGTCATCAAACAAGTCCTCCAGAGTCACCTGCTCAGAGCCACTTTGGCTCATGTGGGATTCAGGCAACACCACAAAGACCTGGGAGCCAACGAGCTGGGTGCCACCAGAAGAGATGATGTGCTCTGCTGTTCCTTGCTCTGACGTCTGAGTCCCCTGTGTGGAAGGAAGATGGTGCAAGAGTCAGACAGGTACAGCACCACTTTCCCCAGGATCCCTTTGCTGCCCACACCTTCCCCAGCCTCAGCTCAGGTAACAACATTCAGCTTCACGCCCCAGGCCTGCAATTACAACAGGCATGAGACAAATGGGAAACGCCAAACCACACACACCAGTGATGCAAGAGGAGACAGGAGAGTAATCTGAATATTTCTCCCCACAAAATTGCTATAATTTAGCTCCACAAGCAGCTGTAGACAGTAAACACTCTGTGATTATCCACTGGAGGAATGCCATCCCAGGGAATCTTGCACACTGGGTTCTCTCATCCAAGGAACTGTTCTCCACTGATGGCTGAGATTTTGAAGAGGAAGAGGCTTGGTTCAAACCTAGCACTGGGCCTCCAACAAAACAGCTGTAGTCTCATGGGGGTGTTAACAGCCTGTGGGTGTCATCGGGGTGTTAACAGCCTGTGAGTAGCCAGGCACCTCTGCATACCCTGCCAATCCTCCCCCTTGGCTCCTTAAAGCCAGGACTGAGCTGCTTCCCCTCCAGCAAGACCTCATCATGCCAGCACAGAAACGCCAGAGCACTGTGGGCTGGGGGTTTACATCATGGATCCCTCTAAAAATGGGGAATCATTTCAACCCAAACCGCTCTGGGATTCAGTGATTCTGTTCCAGGGGCACCATAGTAAGAACCATGTAGAAAGCAGAAGTAGCAGGGGAGTTACACTCAGCAGATACAAGACCTGCTCCTCCTCCCCCAGGACAAGCACTTACACCTCACTGTGTTTCTCAGTTTTCCCTGAGGAGTTGAACACAGCTGAATCCCCGATCCCTGTCTCAGGTTTCCTTTTGGTGTGAATTCTTGTTCCCTTGTAGCAATGTGCTCCCACACACATTCCCTCCAAGGCGTGCCATTTGCAACACGCCTATTTTTAATTCCTACACCTCTTGGTAGCCAGAAACTTGGATGAATAAGATTCCTGAGGGTCCAGATGGGTAGATATGGAGCCCTTTACAGTAGCAGCCCTTCTTTCACCTGCCTTTTCCCTATGGACTCTGCCTCCTCTGTCCCAATTGATCTCTCTGCCAACCCCAAACTGCTGCACATGGCCTGGAGAGACATCCTGCTGCAGGAGCAGGCAACAGCAACCTTGGCATGTGAGGCCAACTCCTGGCTGCACCAGCTCACCTGGTAAGTCTTGTCACAGATTCCAAAGGGCTTTCCCCCAGCGTGGGTCACCATGAGGTGCTCCAGGAGTGATGGGGCACTGCAGATTTTGGAGCAGGAAGGGCAGGGGTGGTATTCCCACGAATGGGCTTCATGGCTTGTGGTGTTCCTGCAGGGTGGCAAAGCTCATCTGGCCCTTCTTGCAGCTGCAGGGATCTTCAGTGTCTGCCACCCAGAAACATAACACAAACCACAGAGGGTAGAGAAACCAAGGGAAAAGAAGAATTAAGAGACAGTCAAAAAAAAGGGAGGGAAATGTTACTTTCCAGGTGGAAACTAGAACTGGAGTTTGGGCTTTACATATAGGTTTTGCTGTTCCTGCTCACCCACAGCTTTCCATGGTGAGCTCCCAGCAGCCTGTTGGCCATTATTTTTGAGATAACCCTCCTCACAGCATCAAACCACTAAAGTCTCACTTTTCCTGGGAGGGAAAAAATCCCCCCATGAGACCCCCAGCCAGCCCACAGTCACATAATCCCACGCCACGACCCCAGGGAAGCCGTGCCTCACAGGCTGAGCTGCCCACACTGTGGGGGCAGCCGGGCCACACTTGCTGGGGAAGGTCCTGAGGTGGATGGAGAGCCCCTTGGCCTGGTGGAAGCCTTTCCCACAGTCCTGGCAGATGCAGGGCTCATCTGCCATGTGGGTGCAGATGTGGAGGGACAGCTCCATGGCCTGGGTGAACGCAGGAGGGGCAGCTGAACATCTTCCCTGCAGGGACAGCCCAGAGAGCCTGCCCCCAGCAGCAGCTCTGCCTGGACTGTGCCTCATCTCAGAGGGAGAGGGAAGACACTGTGAAGTGAATGGGTTTTCCTGGGGTAGCATCTCAGAGCATCTCAGCACAAGGTCCAGAATGTCCTGGAGGTGCCAGGACACCACACCTGCACGGGGATGATTAAATTAGCACCGACCCCAGGTAGCCAGGGGTACTACACACTTTCATGTTCAAAATGAGTTGCCCAACTGCATCACACTCGTGGAACAGTGGGAAATAGAGCCAAGGACATTTATTACAACCCCAGCAATGCATCCTCTGTGCCCATGAGCTGGAAGGGCTCCGCCTCAGCCCCGGGAGGGCATGGCACTGGGTGCAGGGCTAGGAGCAGCAGGGGCATGAAAATATGTGGAATTCAGCCAGAGGGAAGGGCAGGAGAAACTAGGATATCCAGAGGAAGGATGCATTGCTGGAGTCTAGGTGAGATGGGACAGAGAGGAGCTACTCAGGAGAAAAACAAGGAAGATGGAGGAGAGGAAGACTGTGTGGCTAATCTGAGGAGCTGGATAAGGGGATGAGGGGAAGGCAAAGTGGGAAGCTGCAGGCAAACCCATGCAGGTGAAGGAGGTCTGGGAGTAGCCCAATGCACAGGAGTCCCCCAAAGGATGGAGAAGCCTTGCCTCAGGCTGCTGCAGAGGCACTGCACTGCTCCATCAGCCCACCAGTGACACCAGGGTCCACTGGTGTCCTCCAGCCTGGAGGTCCACCAGGACATCGTGAGATGCCCCGGGGATGGCAAAGAGACTCAAAGAGACTCAGCTCCTCTTACTTGTCCTGCTAAAGCAGCCAGGAACTGGAACAGCTCGGTTATTTTTGGAGGCTTTTAAATTTGCCAGTAGCCCCACTTTTCCTTGATGAGCCATGTGGAAAACCAATTAGGGAAGAACTAATCAGAAAGTGGTTGTGCTCAGTGGGGCAGGAGAAATGAGCTGAGCTGCGTTTCTCACACACGGCACTCACAGAGCTGCAGGGAGGAGGAGGAGATTTCAGACTATCACTTTATTATATTGTCCAAACTTCTGCCTAAACACCCTGCTCACCCCAACCCTACCTGAGGCATGAGCAAACTCTCTTCCACAGATGTCACACGCCACAGGGAGCTGCTGCTTCTTTTTTTTGGCCATTCCCACCACCCCATGGACCTCCAGCTGATGCTTCTCCAGTTCCTTCTTGGTCAATTTGACCTGGCTGTACTGTTTACACTGGATCTGCTTTCCTGCCTCGTCCTCATCTTTGTCCAGAGATTTAACCTGGGATTCACTGTTCACCTTCCACTTCCTGATCCTGGGTTTCTCCCCACTTCCCTCAGTCAAGAGACCTATGGAAATAGCAATTACTGGTTGGGTGGTGACCAGTAGGACTGGATACCTGCCCCTCAGTCTCCCATCTCCTGAATGCTCCTACACAGGCAGTCTGTCCTGCACAGAGGCAATCAGACACTCTGTCCATCACAGTGGTGGAACGTGGCTCTGCCCAAAAGTGGCTCTGGCCATGCATAGTAAGAGGCATAAAGAGTGATCCTTGAACTGCTCCACCACACACACCAGGGGCCAAGAACCAGGGCCAGATTTTCCTAAAAGCTTGCTCCTCAAACTGTTGCTTCCAAGCATTTGCCTCCTACTCAGACACATAAAGTTACAGCCATGCTTAAATGTTTGCAGACCTGAGCCTCAGATAGGATACTGCCTAAATCTGCCACTGAGAGGGGATATCCAGCCCTTAATTACGAGAAATCTCAGAAACACTTCACAAACACAAACTCTTTGAAAGGGAACGGATAATCTTACTGCGACCCTTTTGAGTCTTCTGCTTGGGGCCCTGAGGTATTTTAAATTGCTCATTATGTTCATTTCTTACAAAGCTTAATGCTTTCCCTGTCCCTGTAACACCAGCATCTCAAAAAGCACAAGCTGGAAAATTCACCCAGGATCTCAATCTACAGAAAAAAAAAAAAACCCACAGGGAATGTACGTATGGAAGAAATCAAAATACAAACAGATACATTTGTCTTCTTTGCTATAATGAGAACCAGGGAACTGTGTGGCCATGGAAACCAGCACACACTTCTCCCTTTGCCAATGTACAGGAAATTCAGCCTGTGCTTGCAAAACTTCATCTCTGCCTCCTTCCCTATGGGAAGAACTCAGCAGTGTCTCCCCACACACCACCACTGCCCCAGATGTCCAACCAACTAGACACTAAATGGTATATTCCAACAGACCTGGAAATCTTGAGATGCCAAGTGATGAACCATAACCTATGAACACATCAAGGGAGAACTTCCAGCAGACTGGAAGGCTGGTTTCCAGTTTGTCCTGCTCTGCCAAGGCTGCCTCGACCTGTCCCCTCTCAGGTTTCTTCCCACATCCCTGCAACCAACACTGGCAGTTTGTCTGACCCAAGTGAAGGAGGATAACTTGTGCTTGTTTTTTTAAACACAAGACCCTGGAGAAGAAAAGCCTTTTCACAGAGTTTTGACACATTGCTGAGAATGGAAAGTGAGCCCTATGTTGACAAACGTGATCTCCCAAGAAGAGACTGTAGAAAGCCCTGGAAAACAGATGGCTAGAGAGGAGGTTATGGAGTTGGCTGAAAAAGCCAAAGCCTGTCTTTGCATGCACCAGCTGCCAGCACTGACAGTGCTCCAACTACAGCAGGACCCCAAGGAGAAGCCAAGAGATTCCATGTTGTACCTCAACCAAAGGAACCAACCCTCTGTAGTGCTGAGCATGGTTGGGAATGGATGCAGCTTCCTCCACAGGGCACTCCCAAGTGCTTCAGCTCACCTAGATGAGTTATCAGAAATTTTCGAGGGCTTTTTTTGCAGTGGAGATGCAAAACCTGTTGTTTTCAAGTGGAAATGCAGACTGCTCACATCTCCATGTGGCACAAACGTTCTCAGAGACATAAGGTCTCCTCAGCTCCAAGAGGAAGCTCACACCCCTGAGACATGAGGCCCAGAGTTATCACTCACACCTCATGCCAAGAGCCACATGGCTATTGGTCCCCTGCAACATTTGGGGCTGAGAAGCAGTGGTGTCAGAGCTGAGGAGCCTCGAAATTAAGATACTGAGGTTCAGCACAAAGATCTGTAGGATGCCAGAAAGAGGCTGGTACCTGGCAATCCTCCTCTGGACACTTCATCCAGAATAGATGTTTTTGCCGAGTAAATACCATTTTCCAAGGGCTTTCGTTTTTTTGATGTTGCTTCTTGCCTGATTTCATCTCCACACTGGCTTGATGCCCTGCAAAGGCACTCAGTGACAGCAGCTCTGCTTTATTTGATGTTGCTGCCAGAGAGGCAGGATCTGCCAGAGCCGTGGCAGCGGCTCCCCAGGCCCCTCTGGTGCCCACTGCAAGGTGTCCACGAGCTCCTGTGGGCTGCACATTCACACACACACACAAACTGCTGGCTCCACAGTCATCAGGGCATGAGCCTCCAAGCCCTACAGCTACAACAGTCACTGAGATCCCAGATTTCTTCTACCTGTGCCCTGCCCCCAGAAACCCAGCCCCACCTTCCAGCAAGATTTCCTCACTGCCCAAGTGAGTGTGGGCACACCAACACACCCAGGGTGCAGAGGGTGACCTGCCCCCAGCACAGGGGGGCTTTGCCTGTCCCTGCCAAGCACAGAGTGATGGTGAGTTTAAAAGCCACAAGGCTTGTGTTCATTCTTAAAGGCTGATGGCCCTGACCCATATTTTCAAAGTCATTAAACATTCTATCCCTAAAAAAAAAGAGGAGACGTTGATAGCAACCTGCTTACTCTAACTCCCCAGCAATCTACTGGCATTTCCACACGAGGAAATAGGGATGGAGTGAGCTGAACCAGCGCCTGTGCTCGGATAAAAACCACACTGTGCACATCCCAGTGGACTCCGCAGCCCAAAGAATCTGGATGCGCTCACAAACACGATGCCATGAAAATGTATGTGAGCAAACAGAATTAGCAAGTCCCATTTGCATCTTTTCCAGGAGAATGCACACCTGCAGTTACCTTCCTGGCCCTCAGTTATCCCTGTCATTAAAAGCACCAAATTCAGTTCAGAAATTTTTCCTTCAAATGCAAAGACACAACTGGGCTCAGCTGGAAAGCCTCCCACAGCTCAGGGCAGGGCTCACACGTGGTAACAGCTCTGCATTTGTTCTGGAGCTCATCAAATTGCTCTCCGTATGGGATGGTGGCACATGGCACACAGCACAGGAACAGTCTCCATTTTGGTTTTTCCCCTGGGGGGCCAGGTTACAGCCTGCCTTTGTTGGTTAAACCATTCCCTCTCCTGTGCAATCCTTTACTATTATTGTTGTGTTTATTGCAATTTCTTCAGTAAATTGTGACTCCAATTTGTAATCCTCTTAGGGTTTCTTTTCCTCCCCTATCGAAAAGGGGGCTGTTTGAGTGGGCTTGGTCTTCCTGCTGAGTTTTAAAACCAGCACAGATCCTCACAGGGGAGCATTTGCAAGGCCAAATTGAAGCATTCTAAGAAAATTAACTCAGAAAATAGTCTTGGACCAGAAACTGCACCATCATGGTCATCTTTGCACAAGACAATTGCGCTCTGTCATGACCTTCCTGCAGCCTGTGGAAAATCCACACACAGAAAGGCAAGTGACTGTAATGTAAGTCCAAATTCATACAGATCCAACAGCACAGGAAGAGCCAATGAAACCCCGCAGCTTAAGGATAATAATTCTGAAAAATAATCCCATATAGATACAAATTACAGAACTAAGATGCTTAAACGCTTCCAGAGCAAGGGCTGGGGTGGAAAAATGCAAACACAGTTAAAGAACACCAGTATAGGGTGAGTTATGGGCTCCACAACCCTTGTGACATACAAAACTGTGACATGGTGCATGTTACCAGCAGCAGAAACACACACTCCAGTGCCTGCAACCAGAGATCAGCCCTGCAAATCCCCCTGCAGGTACAACCCCAACACCTGGCCAGGGCATCAGGCCCACCAGGACTCTTGGTCCCCCACCAAACTGTCACCTGCAATCATGTGTAAAAGGGTGAAGCCTGTGCTTCTCTCACCCACACAGCCCAGCTCCTGCATCACTGGCTGAAGGTCTGGGAAGGACTCATGGACACTGCACAGCACCTGGCAGAGCTTCATGGCCAGGACACACTTCTCCTGGGCTGTGCTCAGAGCTGCTTTCAAGGAGGCCTCTAAACTTTCCTTCTGAGCAGAAACACTCAGTAGCAGGAGAAATAATAAGATGATAAGATCACCTGACAGAGATTTTGGGCTGTGAAAGGTCAGGTTGGTCTGGGAGTGAGGGCACATCCTTCCTGATTCATCTCTACTGCTGGGAACCTGCTTTGAGAAACCAGAAAAGAAATCCCTTTCCATACACGTCTGTCCCTCACTGATACTTGTGCATGAGTTGAGAGAATTTCAGGATTAAGAGAAGTTATAATAAAATAAATTTATATAAAACACCCAATAAAGCATTCAACACACTCACTTCAGCAGAGGGGCACTTCAAAATTTGGATGGCTTTCAGTGCTTATGAGGGCTCAGCTCTAAAAGGTTTGCTCATTGTAAAACCTGAATGCACAGAGCCACAAGCAAAGCAGCCACGTTTGCCAAACAAAGTGCTTTTCCAACAATGTTTCACTAAGGATCCAGGTGTTGAGAACCATTGGAAGAAAAGAGGTTGCTGGCCAGGGAAAGGGTGAGGAGTTAGAAAGCAGCTGCTGCCAGCAGCAGGAGAAGCTCAGGGAAAGCATAAAGGAACACCAGAGTCATTACCTGTTTGGAAGAAAAACTCTGCACCAGGTTGTTTCCAGATCTCCTCCATGAGCAGGTTCAGGGATGCAGGCTCCTGCACAGCCATCAGCAGCTGCCAAATGGCAGAGACAGACAACGACTGCTGACAAGAGGGAGGTGAAACTGCTGGCCTCCCACCTCACAGCCTGCTCCATGGCCTTGGAGAGACCACAGTGGCACTAACACACCCCATCCACCTGCCTCCTACATCCCAAACTGCTCCATGGCCTTGGAGAGCCCACAGTGGCACTAACACACCCCATCCTGCATCACACAGAGTCACAGTTCTGAGCTGGAAGGGACCCCCAAGGACACGAATGAGGCTCACCAAGATCCAGCCTGCCCTTGCTCCCCCACCTGGCTCACAGTGCAACTTCAGGGGAGACCAAGAAAAGCCCAGGCAGATAGTTCTCCCTGGGTCACTAATGCTCAGGGCCTTATCCTCACAGCACACCTGGATTCACCTTCAAGCTCAGGATGAACACGACAAACCAGACCTTCTCCAAAGCAAAGACAGCACACAATGTCCTCTGCCCACACGTCTCTAACAGGAATGGATCTCTGGCACCCAAATGTCTCCTGAGTCTCCATCCAGGTGTAAGCCCAGAAGAAGAAAGTCTCAGTTTTCAGCATGTTCAGCAGATGACCATGTGGCTTTGCCTCCTGAAGGCAGTACTTCAAGATGTTCATCAGCCTTTTCTCATTCCCTGGAATCACAAAGACCCCATTACTGACTCTTAATTGGAGTTTCACTGCAAGAGGTCTGTAAGTCAGAGTGTTTGATGCACTCCACCAAGAAGGGGCTCTGAAATGCCCCAGCTCACGTCTCTCTCATGCCCTTGTACGACCATCAAACACATTAACATTTTACAAACACCCAGGTGGTCCAAGGTAATCAAGAACTTGGTGGGCTCAGTTGGTGAAAATGTTAAGGGCACACAAACCAGACCTGCAGTTGCAGAGCAGTCATAGCATCTTCTTCTCTCCCTTACACCAAAAGATGCAACTCTAACTCCATTCCTTTCTGCTCCCTGATCTAATTCCAAGCTGGATCTGCTGAAGTTTGCCTTGATAAATCAGAACAATGATGACTCCAGAGTAACACCCCAACCCCTTAAAGATACCCCAGTGTCAGGACACAATGGACTAAGTCAAGGAAGAGGAACAGTGTTTATTCAGGATAATGAAGAGACCTAAGCAAAATCTACTGTGTCCCATAAGTAACCTATGATTGTAACTTGTCACCTGATTAGTTGATAAATAAAAGTGAAAACTGCCAAACAGATGAATGTGAGGAGGATTTTTTCACCATTTAAATTTTTAAATTGAAGAAGATGCACAGTTATACTTTTGTAGGAGAAACCAAACCCAAATGTTATAGTTCACCCAAGACATCCGTGCCCAATTTTTGTTTGTGTACTTCTGCCTTTTAATCATTCTGGTTCCCTACCAATAAGAACAATCCATGATTCTCACAGATTCATTTTCCTGGGAGAAAGGCAGCTAAACACACACAGCCTGGGGAGGAAAGATAAAGTCTGTGGGACCCAGAAGACACACAGTGCCAGGTAAGGAGAGAAAACTCTCTGGGATGGAGAAGGAGGCAATGGCAGGCTGGGGGAATAATAAAGGAAAGATTTTGAGCTATTATGAAAAGCTCCCTGAAGAAAGACTTCTTGGAGACATGACTCTGATCCTCAGCAAAGCCAAGGGAAATTCACAGATTAATTATTTCCCCCTTCTCCCATCAGAATGTTTCTGATTTTGTGACACAAATTTGAGTTGTTATGAATGCAGTCTCAGCTCTGCTGCCGTGCCAAGGTGAGCTCCAGAACCAGAGCCAGGTGCCCTGTGCCAGGTGCAGGACCTCCTCCCTTCCATCAGCAGGACAGCATGGTGACACCAAGGGTGCCACCAGCGAATCCATCAGCCACCGGTAAAATCAAATCATTCCCTCCCTCTTCATTTCCAAGATAAGAAATATTTGTGCTTCTGTTTGTTCAAGCTGCAATTTGAGGAGATTCAGCTCTGTGTAATTAAGGAATGCTCCTCCTTGGAATGGGTATTACCACGAGATAATTAACCATGCTGGGAGTCTGGTGTTTCAAGAAAGCAGTCGTGCTTAACAAATGACAAAGCAAAGTGCCTGTCGGGAATGTTTGCTACAGAGGAAATTATCAGCATTATGAGCACAGTTTTGCTTTCTATTAAACACTCATTTACATTTCACTGCATGTTAATTTAGTTTTTAATTTTCATGTGACTTCAGAGTCTCTCGATGTGAATTGCTCGGGGTACGTCTAAAGCCACCCAAACTTGGAGGACTGTCCCACCAGGCAAAAGATGAGGGCTCCTGAGTCCCTGAACCACCACAGGCAGGCAGCAACAACAAAACCCCACCAAAATAAACAGGAGGAGGGATCTGGTCATGCAAGAGAATGATGTCTAATGGGGACACTAAGTGTGGGATTCCCATCAGCACACTCTGCTCCACATAAGGGACCACGAGCTGCAATGCTACCTGGATCGAGGACAGGAGCACAGACCAAATAAATTTTACCCCCATCTCCCCCAGTCACAAGGAATTCCACATATGAGACTGTCTGTATTTAATGTCAACATCTACAACTTTGGGGAACTTTTTAGCGATTTGCTTTCAAAGCCAGTCAGTACCATAAGTTAAAGTCACCAGTGGAAGTTTAGTCTACCCACACCTTTGCTATCAGAGATGTTTGCTGTTGCCACCAAGTTGCCCAGCAGAAGCTGGAGCCCAGGGAGTGATGCTTTCACAGCCCCTAGAAGTCTGATCAAGCTTTCCACATTTAGGGTTTTCTCTTCATCCACCTTCCTGTGCAGGTTGTCCATGGCTTCCTTCTCAGAGCTGCTTTCACAGCAATCCAAAACTACCTGCAACAAAAAAAAAAACCAGCCACAAACCCGCCTGTGAGAGCTCCCTACAAACTCCTGGATCTGAAATGAGATCAGAAAAACAGGAGCAGTATCACAGCACTGCAATAAACCCATATCCACTGCTTCCACAGTTTAGCTGGGAGGGGTTACAGGATGCTATTGCAGAACACCTGAACGTGTCCCAGGTGTAACCGATGTGCATCGGCTCAAAGACCACCCTGGTGGGTTCTTCCACCAAGTCCAACTCTTGGAAGAGGCTGACAAGCAAAAAACCCATTTTTTAAAAGAAAACAAAAATAGACTTAAAGACAGTGTTCAAACCAACATAACATTTTTATTAAATACTTTGAAAACTGACAGTCTCTTTTCCCTTGTCTCCCCGATTTTTCTGCTTGCCATCAAAAAATAGATGGACAGAAAAAAACCACTCTCTTTATTTAAATAATCATCTATTAATTGAATTATTCTTTCTCTGATGAGGTCACATGAGACATCTCTTACACTAGATGCAACCACTGTATCTTGGAAAAGCTCTAGGATACCAGTAAAATACCTCCAAGGGAGAGGCAGCTGACAAATACAGGTTGACCTCCTCTCCACCACTGCTTTGCTCCTGAGCAGAACCTCTGCAGGGCCACCAGCTCAGTTCCCTGCTGACAAAAGCACTACACTACACAGTCCCATCAATAAAATTATTAAGATCTGTCCTAAAACTAGTTACATTTTTGCTCCCTTTCCCCTGGCTGAAATGCTCTTCCACAGCTTCATTCCCCTGCTAATTCTTCTAATTTTCAGCTAAAATTTATTCATGGCCAGCGTATGCCTGTTTGTACATGTGCCAGCATTATCTTTTAGCTTAAAAAGCCTTCTGAACTCTCTGAGGTGTTTACCCTACCCATCCTCTTCAATTTCATTGTAGGAGCACAATCATATTCCCTTTCAGTCTTCATTTCCCTTGTCTATATAAGGCAGCTCCTCCCATAAAGCAGCTTCTCCACTCCCCTGATCTTCCCACTGCAGATCTGTCAAGTTCCAGTATGAATTCACCTTTTTTAAACCAGACTGGAACAGAAATTTCTGCAGGGTCATCCAGAGCAGATGACACAGGAACAGGCTGGTTTGGAATTAAGGCCCCACACCCTCCCTGGGCAGCTGTTCCAGTGCTCTGCCCCCCTCAATGGAAAGTTCTTCCTCATGTTGAGGTGGAATTTCTTGTGTTTTAGTTTATGGCTATTGCTCCTCGTCCTGTCTCTGGGCACCATCCTCTTAGCACCTGCCTAGTAATTCACCTCCCAGCCTGTGGTGGTACTTGAGCTTGTTCCTCCCCAGGTGCAGGATCTGCACTTGCCCTTGTTGAACTTCATTTCGTTTCTCTCTGCCCAGTTCTCCAGCCTATCAAGGTCCTGCTGAATGGCAGGACAGCCTTCAGATGTATCAGCCACTCCCCCCAGTTCCATATCATCCAGAAAATCTGCTCAGGGTGCACCTGATCCCTTCATCCAGGTGTTTGGTAAACAAGTTGAATAAGATCAGACCAAGTACTGATCCCTAGGGATGCCACTGACTCCACTGACTCCACTGATCACGACCCTCTGAGTCTGCCATTCAGCCTGTTCTTGATCCACCTCACTGTCCACTCACCTAACCCATGTTCCCTGAGCTTATCTATGAGGATGTTATGGTGTCAAAAGCCTTGCTGAAGTCGAGGTAGACACCATCCACTGCTCTCCCCTCATCATCACTGCCCCATCCTGCCATGCCATCACAGAAAGCATCAAATTGGGCTTAACTGATTGTTGAGAGATGTCCTTTGAGCTGTGATTTTCCTTCAGCTGTAGGAAATTTCTGTTTCTGTGGTTCTCCTGGATAGGGCCCCAGGTTCTGAAAAGAGTTTGCAGGTCATCTCCTCTCCTCATTCTTTTTCTTTACTTGATCAGACAAATGTCTGTTGCTTGTCATGATATCTGCCCTGATGCCCAGCAGCCTGATGTGCCACAAACCTCTTCACAGCTCTACAGTACATTTATTTGCCTCTCAGATGTTTTGGCCATTCCCTGCAGGTCCTAAAACCTTTCCTCAAGTTGTTCACTCACTCAGGTCTGTAACCTCTAATAAAAGTTCTCCTTTCTCATTCAGGATGCAAACTTCAGACAGTTCTCCTACCTTTAACATAAAAGAAACTAATCCAACAGCTCCTCCTCCGCTCTAATGAGCACCTGAACTCCTTAATTAGTTTCTCTCATTTCTAAAGATCCCTTCTTTTGTAGCCCAAACTCTGTTAGCGAACCTGTTGATGTGTCCTCCCATTCAATTCACACCGAGCTGCCTCTGGATCCCTCAGTCTGAAGTCCTCTCCTGAGAGAACACAAAAAGAGGTACAAGAGCAGCATCTCTTGGGGAGCTCACACTCTGTTGTGGTCATTCTGAACTCTGCAACAACCTAAGCCATGAGACACCACGAATGAAAAGGTTGCCTGCTCTTCCTTTGTATCCAGCTTTATTTCTTTTAGGTGATAATCTGCATTCAAATCCTCCACCCCACATTCCCACATTACAGAAATACCAAAAAAGCCACAGAAGTTAAGCACTCAAAAAAAAAAAAAAAAAAAGAGAGAAAGGTTAGGTTTAAAAACTCCAGAAAAAAACCAGAGGTTTACAGAGAGGCTTCACAAAACATCACATACTGGTTTTCCAGCAAAGAAAATCAAACTTGCTCCATGCACAGCTCAGACCAGGCACAGACAGAACCCAGCTGCCCAGAAAAAAGGCTGCTACATGAGAAACTAGCACTTGTCTTGCTGAATAAATGTGTAGCTAATGAGGCAGTGACTGTGAGGAAAAAAAGGAAAGCCTCATCTCTATGAACCCTTGGAGAACTAGATCCCATCCCTGCCAGCCCAGAGCCCCAGTGCAACACTGGCTGAATCAGGTAAGACGAAACCTTCAGAGGTGCCTGCTAATTCCATGTGCTTTTTCCCAGTCCCTGAGATACCAGAGATCCCACCTGCACATATGCTATGGGCCCGCCATTTTAATCAATTTTTCTGGAATAATTAAACACTTTTCCATTGGTCTGAGGGGAGAGGGTGGAATTGAACAAATAAACCAAACTTGAAAACTGGGAAAGCCGTTAAGATCAAGTCTACACTTGGCAACTTCTGCCTTGTTTTCGTGTGCCACAGCAGGACAGAGCTCTGCCCCCTCCTTATCAGAGCGCCCCCAAATATATCTGTTGTTTGGTGGGAAACTGTGGGATGAAACAAGAGCATGAAGGGATCCCATAGAGAGGAGATTTGGTATTCAGAGCAGGGTTTGGAGGCTCTGCAGCAAACGGAGCACACAGTGACTGACAAGGATGAAAAGAAACATGGAATAACACTGCTCCTCCACCAAAGGAGGCAGGGGCCCTGCAGCACATGATGATGCAATTACAGGCTGTATCCTGTGCCCAAGGAGCAGAATTACGATGGCAGAACGGTTTTGGTTATTACTGGGGCGTTGTGTTTGTTTTCTAAAATGGGAAGGGAGGCAAAAAATGGCTGAATTTTAACTACCTGATTCCACGAAGACAAAAAGAAGGGTGCAGGGAAAAGGTGCGGCCTTCAAAAGAAAGGCCACACTGCAACATGAACAGGCATCTATGAAAATCCCAATTTCCCTAGTGCTGATGAAGCTGCCAGAGCTTGGTGCAACTTTCCACTCGCTATAATCCTGTGTCAGAGGAACTAACTGATGTGACAAACGAGGACAGGAGGTCTCAAGCTGCGTCCTGACCACAGCATGTGAGGGCACCCTGTAAGTTCCACCTGCACAGGGGACAGCCAGCTCCCCCCAAACACAGAGGAAAGCAGATTACGCACAGAATTTTGTCCTTTATGGCTTCTGCAAATCAGCACACATAGTGCAACTGCTTACAGGAAAGGAGAGCAACAGTCCTCCCTACCAACTGCTGCCTTCAATACATAAAAAGTAACAGACAATTGTGTGGTAGGAGCCACAAAAAAGAGTTAAAGCTGGGAGTCAGCTGAAAGGGAAGCTGATGACCAGGAACTGGCAAGCAGGTAGCAGAGTGGTTCTGCTCACACTCCCCTACAGAGCCTTCTCCATGCTCCCAAAAAGGCATTTTCAGGGCTAGGAGGAATACCAGGCACCTCCACTTGCAGGGGCAGTCTGACACGGATCCTGGTTTTGAGGTTGCCTTCACTGCTCAGCTGTCCCTATTCCCACAGTCCAGCAAAGAAGGACCTGAGACCACACACATTCTTTGCAGGGGGCAGGTGAAACAGCCAGGTGAGGCAAACCACAGTACACGCTGCCTTGCATCCCACTGACATCCCACCTCGCCCACATAGTTTGCCTCATTCCAGATGTTGTTACCCCCTTCTCCAAAGAGGTCAGGAATCCTCCTCTGCTGCCTCCAAGAACTCCACGATGGGGCTGAGCTGTGTCACACCCTGGATCAGCTCCTCCCTGCAGCCCAGCAAGCGAGCGGTCAGCGTCTCCTCCTCGGCTCTGTTCTCTGGGGGAAGAGGATTCAGAAACACAAGAGAAGAAACAAGTCAGTCTGAAGGAACTGACAGGCTCCTGAAGCAAGGGAGACTCTGTGAAAGATCTAAGTGAATAGCAAAGCTCATCCCAAGCACAAGCAGCAGAGGAAAATCACTTTACTATTCTCTTTAAACTCTATGAAAGGAAAACGTCTGATTTATCTAACAGAGCACAAAGCCATAAAGCAAGCTGGAGGTTAACACCAGGTTTGCAAGGCCACTGCTTTGTGTCAGGCTCGAGTAAGAAAGAAGCCTTCAATCTCAAGCCTCAGCTGTGCTCTGACCCACGCTGGCTGCCAGCCATCGATCCAGCCCTCCGGGCAGTGATGGGGAGAGCCCTGCACAGCTACACCTGCTGCTGCAGGCAGGAATGCTCCAGGATCTTGGCCAGCTCCTGATAAACCTCCTGCATCCAAGGATACAGAGTTTCTCCGCTTTGCCTGTAAGACTACCCACTCAATTTGCAAGAGGCAGCACCCAATATCCAATTTACCTCCTTGCTGTGGGGGTTTCTCCAGTGCCCTGTTCCCAGCAGAGCCGCTCTCAGCCTGGAATCCATGTCTTGAAACAGCTTCAGAAAAGGCATGAGGGTCTGTGTGTCCAGGGGCCAAGTGTCTTGGGTGTCACCATCCTGGGTGTGAGAATCCTTGAGCCAAGAACGCTCCACTGTGGCTCAGCAACTTCTTCAACAGTGCCTGTTCCCTCGGCCAGACAGGCAGCCAGAGCCTACAGCAGAACAGAAATGCAAGAAGGTTTGGATAACAGAGTGAACTGCCCTATACAAACACACACAGCAAGCAGAACCCTGGGGTTTTGTTCAGGGGACAAAAAAAATAAACAGAACCACAAAAACCACCAAAACCCCCACATAAATACACACCACTGAACCCAAGCTCCAGCCCCAGGAAGGAGGGCAGCAAGCCCTGCTGCCAGCCCTCACCTGTACACCAAATCCCACAAACTGGAGCTGGTTCCAGCACCAAACCTCTCTTCATGTCTTCCCCAAATAGCCACAGGCCAATAAGGGTAAGGAACCTGATAAACCATGGATTATCACCACTACTTTGGAAGGCCAAGGCTAGGGCAAGGGATCCTGGATCTCACTGCAGAACAAGGAGGGATCACCTGCATAGAAAGCAGAGAGCATTTCAAACAGGACTTTCAGCAATCTCCAACCTCAATCCCAGTGGAATTTTGCCTCCTAGGGAAAGCTCTGGAGAGGAGGCACACAAACTCTTGAGCGCCGTGGGCTCCCAGCGTGCCGGGCAATCAAACCCAGAGCTCCAAAAATCTACTTCAGTGACCTGAAACAGCAACCAGAGGCAAACGTGCCTGTGCAGTTATGGAAATAAAAGGCAAAGAAATAAGCTGGAACTCTTGCTCCCATTTCCCCAGAGTCCTTGAGCGCTGTAAACACTGCCCCTGCAGACACAGGCTCCCCAGCTCTCCAGGAGACACGCCAGCCTTTCGGAGCAGCGGCCTTTATGGAGACTCCAGGGATGCTATAAAGGTGCCTTTGAAGCGGGGAGTTCAGCCCCGCTCCAGGGAGAACGGCCATTTTCTGCTGTCACTGTCATTTTTACTGCAGTGATGAAAAGACTGAATGCAACTGCTTGGGGCTGCGCCGGGGGAGGGCGGGCTGGCTTCCCCAGCAGGTGGAAGCGCTCACAGATTTGGGGAGCGAGGCAGTGCAATGACCTAGTGCAGTGGCCATCCTCACAGGGGGAGCTGCACGAGGCCCAGCTTCTCCCACTGGGTTTTCCTGCCGAATGGAGAGCGTGGACATGAAGGGCTCTGGTGTAAAGAAGAAAGGAGACGCCGCAGATGTGCTGGAGAACAAACTTAAAGGTGGTTCTTTTTTTGGTTTTTTTTAATGCAAACATTAATTTGTAATGAGACTTGATAACCAGATCATGTTTGTTCTCAAGGTTTGCATGCCTGGCCCCTTCCAGATCAAAACGAGCCTGTAAAACACGAGATACCTCCACTCTCACCATCCTAAAGGTGCTCAGATCCTGCCAAATCCATGTTTGTGCTAATATGGATGAAAAGTAACTTGCACTATTGCAATATATTTTTTTAATTTTGGGATTTTTTTTTTTAATTAAAATAGCACAGCATTGCTACCCAGATCCCCAGGTATCACTGTGCATATAATCATCAGAAAAAAAAACTATGTTCCTATTTCTCCTTCAGAAACCCAAACTGCTTTTTTTTCAAGCCTGTATCTGTACGTGACTGGTGAGGGAGACCCCACGAAGGCTCCGTGGACAATGCTGAGCTCCTTCTGGCTCCACACAACTGGAGCGAAAGCTCAGCCCAAACTTCTGCACAACTACAAAGAACAGGGTGGGAAAAAGTTCTCTAGCTCTGTCACCACGAAAGAAAAAAAAGCAAAACCCTCACAAGCTTTCGCTCCTAATCAGGATGCAGAAGATAACAGGAAACTTCTTTCTTCTGCTGCATCCAGAAATCCCTGCAGCTGCAAATGAAGGACGACAACGACTGGACAGGCCCACAGGCAATAGAAACGATCCACAAGCACAGTGACATTTATTCTACGTGGGAGCATCAGCTCTCCCCCACTCCATCTGAACCCAGCAGTACAGGGAACAAATGAGCTGTGCAATAATTTGAATTGAGTTTCTCTAAGAGAGCACAGGAAGATAAGACTTGACACCAGCAAAGCTCTTCCACGCTTCCCCAAATTACTGCAATTTCAGTCCTGTTCTCATTTCCAAGCAGGTTTCATCCAAGCCAGAACCAAATTAGATAGGAATAGTTTATGCGAGATATACAGAAAAACTCTAAAGCAAAAACAAGCCCGAAAATCACATCTCCCTAAACTGAAAAGCAATTCATCTGCATTTTTCAGTTCGAGGAGCAAAACAGAACACCAAAATCAGAAGAGAAGCAACACTCCTCACAAAAGCCAGCCTTGTACCACAAACCTTCTTGGGAAAAAAGCCCACGACCAAACAAGTCTCCACTGGAAGCAGGAGGAAATAGGCAGGAACAGCAGAGGGGAGCAGACAGGAGTGCTGCAGGGAACAAGGCACCATGCAGGGATGAGCTCACCAGCAACAGAAGAAGCATCCAAACCCAAATCCCACGGAAACCAGAGGGGCCTGAACACCAGGACAGCCTTGGCTTGCAAAACACACCTGAACTCTCACAGTGTCCAGGCTTTGCTGCCCAAAGCACATCACTGCTTGCTCAGAGAGATCAGCCACCCCCAAAAGGCTCCCAAGTGGAAGGACACGAGGGATGGGAGATCTCCCCTGCAGCAGGGCAAGCACACCAGCAATGCTTTCTGCCAAGAACTGCACCTCACCACCTTCCAGACCTGCTTCTACTTGCCCCGAGGCACCCAAAACTTCAAGCAAATGACTGGCAAGAGGATACAAAGAAGGGGAGGGGAAAAAAAAAGGAGAGAGAACGAAAATCCATTGACATCTAGCACTGGCACAACCTCAGCCTGAATTACACATCCGAGCTGGGCTCTTAGGAGCTGAACTTGCACTTCAAGCACGACTTTAAAAACACAGTGCTGTGCTTCCCCCTAAAGAAAACACCAGGCCCTCGATGGAAAGAGCTGCTCTGTGTGCTACAAACAGAGCCCAGACTCAGTGCATGTGCCCACAGGTCCCGCTGATCCCAGGGGGGAGCTCAGAGAGGGACAGATCTGGCTCAGCCCTTGCTTACAACAGGCTGCAGCCTGTTCCCCCACTGCCCTGGGGCTGACACTTTTCATGCTTGTCACAGCTGAGAAGTGATTTTTCGGGAAGGCTTAAAGAAAATCCATTTCTCATTTATTCAGCATTTATTTATAGCTGCAGGAAAATTGTCCAGCTACCGCTTCGCAGTCAGGCACCCAAAGCGGCTCTGAGCACCACAACCTCTCTGCTTGGCTCCTGCTGCAACAGCTCTTTTGGGAGCACAAAGGGCCGCGAATGGGTCTGTAAACCTTCCCTGCCGGGTCTGAGGTGCTGAAGGAACGTGAATTAGCAGTGGCTGCAAAGCAACAGCAAGCGAGGCCGTGGTGCAGCAGGGAAGCTGCAGCTCACCTGCCTGGGCACTCAGCAGGCACAGCTCTGCCCTGCTGCGAGCAGCGAGGGAGGCAGGAGACACAGGTGGTGTCTGATGGGGCACTGAGCTGCCAAATCCCTTCTGGCCACACCCATCCCCACTGCACAGCACTCACCCCAGCTCTGCTCCAATTGTTAGGGTGGAGAACAGTAAAACCTTAAACCTGACGTATTGATCTGATCGCGGCGACGAACAAATGTACAAAAACCGAATCCTTCTCTCAGCAGGGCACTCAGAGGTGCTTGTCAGCCCCGCCAGGCTTGGGCTTGCTGCTGCAAACACAAATCTGTCTCCTAAAGGCCACGAGATGTTACATTCAATGCCATCAGGAGAACCAGCAGCTAAGGAAACTCTGTGAACATTTAAGGGCTCAGCAGAAAGCTCCCTAACTCAAGGGAATTCTCTTCGCTGCTGTCATACATGTTTTGGGGTTTTCTTTCTAACAGACATAATGCCTTGGGCTTTTATAAGCAGAATGCCACCGCAGCCAAAATGTTCCATGTCCTGATGTTTCTGTGGTGGCTCTGAGCTGGGACAACGGCTGGCATGTGGCTACCACTGCTCAGAGCCCAGAGCACCCTTCAGCACACTCCCAGCATCCAGAGCCAGCTATCCCCTCCAACAGTCACCAAGTCATCATTCCCCAGCTCTGACTGCTCCTAAAGCAGCACACTGCCAGGAGAAGCCTCACGGGGCAGCACCTGGCACCCCCCTGCCACCCTCCATTCCACTGCCCCCTCGGCAGCTCTGCCATCCACAGAGCAAGACAGTGCCAAGAGCCTGGGAAATCTATATCAGGATCTCGTATGTCAGTTGTTTACAAGTCGATGCAGTTCCTAGAGCAAATGCCATAAACAGGAGGAGAGAAATCTGTGCTGGAGTTCTCCTACAACACAAGGATGTCTTCAGGGCAGGACACACTTCCTTATCTGTGTGCAGGAGCAGCTTGCACTTACAGATGCTTCTCTCCAGGGTGGTGCTCAGGTGAGCACATGTTGCCCTTCAAACAACCAGGCACCGGTTTCCCATGCAACAATTTCCTGAACAAGGCACAAACTATTCTAGCCCTTAGCAGTATGGGCTAAGAAAAAAAACTTGTATCATTTATGGAAGCAAACACACCTACCTCCTTTTGAGAGGCATCAATTTCTCTGCTCGAGTCTTTTCAGCACAGCCTGGGCATCAGAAAGGGCCTCAGAGAAAACACTTTCATATCCAAGAAAGAAATCCAGTTTACAGCTTTTACTCTCTGCTGCTGTGCAAGAGAAACAAGATGAGTTATTTGCTAATTGAAGGGATTCGCAGAAAGCACGATGTGACTGAAAGGCATCGGTTTGTAACCAGCACATTGGCTATAATAGGAAAACTGTGACTTACAAATCCCTTCTGAAGATATCACAGAGCCTGGAGGGAAAACCAACGGTTTATTTAACACCAGTTATAAATGGAACATTTATTTTAAACCCAATACAGCCTCTGTTTTCCTCCCATGCTGAATAGGAGTTTAAAGGATAAGGTAGCATTAGTAGGCAACTCTGTTCACTTGCTGTTAGACAGACTGTCTGATCAGCCCCATGTCCTGCACAAACACAGATCCCACCACACGGCAGATGCATTCACACACCTGGGCACGAAAAATTTTGCTCACTACAGCTCTGGCAAAATGGTGAGCGTGAAACAACTGCAAAAGCCAAAGGAAGAAAATTCCTGCAGAACAGGTAACCCAAGGCAAACTAAAAAGATCAAACACAGAGGAAAAGATGGCCCATAACAGGAAAATGGGAGTCGATGTGTTGCCAACAGGAGGCAAGGCTGTGCCCAGACCTGTGAAGTCTCACCTAAATCCCTCTTTCCCCTCTGGATCACCCTTTCCCCTCTGGAGGCTCTTCCACACAGCCACTCCACTCAGCATGGGCAGGCTGGTCAGAGCTTGAACCCTCCTGGAGGGGCCTGGAGACACTCGACATCAAGTCATGGTGAACGCAGGTGCAATTCACAGCAAGTTCCTGACCAGGAGGAGAAATATCGGCTCCATTTCTGCTTCTACAGGGCCAGGTAAATGGCTGGAGCTGATGCTGAATTCAGCAGCTGGTTTCTGAAAGGACAGGTGGGGAAGCAGGGCAGGAAGACCTGTTCAGATCATCTAGCAAACACAGAGGAGAATCTGAGAAGCTAGCTTGGATCTGCAAAGCACTAAGTGGTTCGTGACCAGTTCATTTTCTCCCCACATCACTGGGCAGGGCCACGTGAACATTAGAGATAGAGGTCTGCTTGCAGCCCAAGGCCTCAGCACACCCCAGTCCCAACTCATCAATTCACAAATCTTTGCCCCCAAGCTGTAATTTTGTTGCAGAAGTCCACAGCCCTAAATCTCATCTACCAGAGCCTTCCTTTTACTCCCCCCCTCCCCACCCTGCAGCAGGAGGGAGAACATCCAGGACATCTGCCAACAGAATTCTGTATCAGCGGGATACCTGGAGTTTTTATCTAAGCTAGACAAGATAAAGATATCACTGCCTTGTCTACACACTTGGATGCCTAACACTGGTGCAGGCCACAAAACAGCATGAACACTGGAGAAAGAGCACCTGGACGGACACGATTTACATGACCTTCAACGCTTAACATCTTTGCACTCAGCTTCCTGCTCTCTTTCAGAGAACAGCAGTAATAGTGCCTGTCACCAGGTCAGGAGCTTTAAGGAGCACATACGCCACCTCGGGGGTGGATCCCAGCCAGGCAGGAGAGCTCTCCTGAGCAGCCAAGAACTCCCACGGGCTTTAAAGATGAAGTGCTATGGAACATGTTTTGGAAGATCCCAGATGGTTTTGACATCACCTCAAAGCAGAGGTGTCCTGCTCCCCATCTGGGTGCCTCTGAAGCAAGAGCACACAGTGGTTAGGTCCTTCTCTGGAAGGCAGGAAAACCTGAGTGGGATGAGAGCCCACCCTCCTGCTTCTCAAGAGGCAGAGCCTCTCCAGGCACAGAAGTTGGCTGGTTTGCAGCTCATCTTTGCAAGTACCAGATCCACCCCTTCAGCCATGCTCAGGGCCGGCCACCTGCACTTCCAGCCTATCCAACATGTGGGCTCTGCTCTTCTCCCACGCTGTTGTAAATCACAAGGAACCAACTGCCATGAGCGGAGTCACTGCTGGCCGTGGGAGAAGAGAAAGGCCTGATTCTTTTGCCAGGCTCCATATAAGTAGCATTTTTAGTCCACCCACTCTTTCCTGAAGCTGAAGGACTTCCAGTATCTGAGATGAAACTGGGTCTGCTGGTTAAATAATAATAGCTGTGGCTCTTTCTACAAAAGGACAAGCAGGAAACATCGATGTCCTGGAAGAGACGTCTGCTCACTTTGCCATGAATAGCCTTCTGCATGAAACCTATTGCTTGCACCGTGGCAAGCTGGAGGAGGCAGCAGCACCGTCTGCTGCCTCTATTCCTGGCAGGAATATAGAAGACATATTTGCTCATGACAGCTCGGAACAGTGAAGCTCTAAGCAGCCTAGCAGCATGTCCCCTTCTTCATTACAGCAACTCAGAGCACTGGAAAATGTGTCCTAAGCAATTAGCACAGACATATTTGTTTAAATACATTTTACTTCTTTAATTATAGGGACCCAGCAGCCCAGCACTGCCAAAGAGAAAGGGCATTTGTAACAAGGGGTGATGGCCAAGACCAGCCTCAAGGCAACTGCCCGCTACTTAGAGCACACTTCAGGCTTTTATTCAAAGCTTAGAGCCAGAAGGGACCACACCAGCAATCTGATTCCTCATCCATCACTGCCTCCCAGATTTCCAGGCTCAGTAACTTAGGTTTGGCTAAAGCCTCTCTTCCAGCAAGGTGCCCGGTCATGATAAGAACTGATTTTTAGGGGGAGGACCCTCCACCACCACAGTTATTCTAACTGTTAATTTACATGTCTTCTTTCTCACCTGAGTTTGTCTGGCTTCATCTTCCAGCCATCCTCTGGGTGGCTTCTGGGGGACTGGGTGGAACTGGGAATCTCTGAGAGCAGGTAACTGATCCTTCAGCAGCAATGAGTGCTGACACAAGAGGAGCTGTCTGCCTCTGCCAGCGGCACTGGTGGGAAAAGGCCAACTGTCACCTCTTCATCTTAAAGCTGCTTCTCTGCATCCCTCCTGGGACATCCTGCCAGCAAACCAGGGCAAAGTCTGACTCACTTGAGTGACAAAGGGGACAAAGGAGACAGGGCATTTGCCCATCTGAGCTGCACAACAACCGGGCTTTGCATAATTAATCCTTTGATGGGACATCTTAAACCCCGTCCTTCCAGCTTTCCGGGGAGAACACCAAGATGCCTTAGGAGTTTTTATTCCACTAGCTTCCAGTGAGACTGTGAAATAAGCAATTTAAGCCAAATTTTCAACAGTGCCTAAAACTCCTAAGGCTCTACTTGACAACATGTCGATAAATGTCATCCTTCAGCAGCAGTTGCCATCTCTGACTGCTCTCAGGACACCCATTTCAGCAAAGATGCCCCTTCTTCTTCTGAACTCCCAAGTAGAGGTGGTCCAGAACAGATCTACAGCAAACACTACCCTCCACTGTTCAGTTCCAGCTCATTCCACCTTTTCCCAGGTATTCCTGCCCTCACACAGCTCCACCAGCTTGAGGGAATCATGTCTTTTTCTTTAAGCTGTATTAGAACAGGAAAAAGATCTGTTGAGAGCAACAACCTTTCTTCACAGAGAAGGAGGAAAGATGGACACCCAATTCTATCCAAATAACTAAAAAAGAGTGCCCAAATTAAATTACTTCTCTTCATTATTCATATAATTACTTCCATCTAGATCCAACAGATTCAAAAGCCACCCACGTCACCTGGTTCATCAAAAGATAATTGAAATTTAGGACCTAGCACTTTAGCAATTAAGACTCTGCAGAGACAGGTGCTCCAAAGGTGCATGGATGAGACCATCCTTCCCTCGCAATTCCTGCTGCCACAGTACCCACACCTTTGGAACACCCATCACAAGGCACAGGAAGAATTTTAATGTCTCTATGGCCTTAGCAAAAGGATTCTGTATGTCCTTCACTGCCATAACTAAGGGACTTTTGCAAGGTGCTGGTCAACACAGCTGCTGCCATTAATAACACCAAAACCTCCTCCTGCATCCATCTCAGTGGCCAGCTTGAGGATGTGTTGCATGCCAGAAATTCCTCCTGGAGCAGGCTTTTCGTAGCTTTAAAATAAACCCCAAACCAACTACTATTGCTGCACACTACCAAAAAAAAAATAAAAATGAAGCACTCCTAGCACAGTGGTTCTGAAAGCCACAAACCCACAGCCTGCTGCTCCCTCTGCTGCCGGCACAGCACAGCCCAGCACTGCCCAGTGCCGGGCACAGATGGATAACTCGCGGTGCCCACATGGATGATGAAGCTCCATAAAATCAACCTGCACACCCGATGTGAAAATAGAAGAAAGAAGTCCTACGCGAGTACTGAAAAAGCTAAAACAAAGCAGGCAGAAAACAAAACAAAACACAAAAAGTGGACAGAAAGAGATAAGCAGAACGGAAGGATCCAACTTCCCTGTCTTCAGTAAATGCCACTTGCGCTGGAGCCAATGGGAGGTGCTCCCAGGAGCAACCCTCAATCCTCCTGCTCCCCAGCACTCCCTGCTCAGGGAGCTAAAAATCCAAAGTGGTCACTGCAGCAGGGGCCAGCCCACAAAGGCTCCTTGCCCTGTGAGAGGGGCTCACCACATCCCGGCCCACTTGCACCCACTCAGAGGTTCATTTCACAGTTCTTATGGAAATAAGTGAACTCAGCAGGATGGAAAGCTGGGATTCATTTCTCGTGTTCCTCGGCCCTGGGAATGACAGTGGCCTCAAAACGAGGGGCAATGTTTTGGTTTTAGCTCGAGGAGTTAAGGGCAGTGACAGCCTCAACTCGCAATCTGAATATTTTCTGCGTGTGTTTACAGTTTCCTGTTTTCTTGTTACCAAGATGATGATCTTACAATGAGGGTTATTGGAAAGCCGGAAAATCAAGGACTGCAATTCAATTTTCTTACCTCTCCCACCAAAAGTAATTCAGTCTTTGAAGTGCTGAAAAGAGGCTTGAGGGGTCATTACTTGTCTCTGGGGTGCTCAAAAGGGGCAGAGCAGGCAGCTCGCCCAGAGGATAATGTGAAATCCAGCACAAGGAGATAGGGCACACCAATTTGTTTTTCAATCTATTTTGTTGCAGTTCAGAGCATCAGTGCAGACTGATAACAGAGGAAAATAAGCAACACTTTGACTAAATTCAGTGCTCCACAGTCTCTAAAGGCAGCAGAACATACCGCTCCAACCCCACGCATTTTGTCTGCACTGATGCCCAGAACAGAAATATAAACAGATTGAAAAACAAACAGCTCTGCTCCAACTCCTCAGTGTTAAGTTTTCTATTACTCTTCAAACCGAGGGCTGCCCCAAAAAGCGAATAATAAAATCATGCAGTTGAAAACCTGCACAAACCCAAAGAAACTCTCAGTTTGCTCCAGTCACTGCTCAGTCACAGATCACTGTTCCCAAGAACACTGAAAAGTGCTAATTATATTTTGCATGTTCCCTTAGCAGAAGCTGGACAGCTGAACTGCTGTTTGTAAGGCAGATTTACATCAGCAAACTGTGTGTTTTAATTTATTAGTGACTTGTCAAAACTACACTAGACCAGTTTTTGTGACCCATTTTGCATCAGCAGAAGCACAGAGACATCTGTTCCCACAGCCAAGGGCAGACATGGCTCAACACACCCCTGAGGTGCCTTGATCCAAAGGCCTGTTTAAGCACAGAGGGAATTAAAAAAAAAAAAAAAAGCTTGAAAATGACACTTCTCAAGCGTGGTCACCCAAAATGGGTCCAATCCCCTCAGACTTCTTAGTGAGCTGAGTCTATGGACACTTGGACTTCCATCGCTGTCTCCACCTGCTTTGGGCCAGCTAAGGCACCTTCTCAGCCACAAAATTCCATTAACACAAAAGGCCCTTCAACAACTCTTCAAATGTGAGAGCAGCTGCTCTAATACACGGCAGAGGAAGATTCAGCACCATGAAAGCCGAGTGGGGTTTACCCCTGGAAGCCAACGCACTTCCTCCACCTCCTGGAAGAATTCTATAACTGCTGAGCCATTTTTTTAGGAGACAAGGGGCTCATCTTTGGCACCTTCTTTAAGTGTATGTAGAAGCAGTTAAAATATAGTGGAAAGAGATGAAACACGAGCAAATGAGCAGGGCCGAGAGGCTGGGAGAGGACCTTTATTCTGGTCCATACTCTGACAGGCTGTTCCTGCACCACTCTTGTCTTTGAATGGTAGGGTTTTAACACAAATTCCTCCTCAAACACAAGACGCTTGGCTTCGCTGTCCGGGACCCACCACAGCACCTTTCTGTAACACATCTAACCCGACCTGGGAACAGAGTCAGCCCTGCTGCTCTCTTCTCACTGCTCCTCTGCAGCAGCTCTGTCGAGCTGGAGATCGCACAGGAAAAAAACGGATCCGACTGCTCGCTTTTTGGTACTGTGCAAAAATCCTGTTTATTTGTCTCTTGAAGGCCCAATCTTGGTGGATCATCCCGAAGAACAGACGTGATTAGTGGATGTGATTAGAGAGGCATGTGCTGTAGCCAAAGGCGTGAAAGCAAAAGATAAATCCCCTTCAAGCCTACCTTTAAAAACCATCCTGGAGAGGGTCACAGCTCGAAGAGGCCCTAATGCACAGCTAATGAATGACAAACACCTTTGGACAGTCAGTGGTACCCAGCAGAGCCAAAATTCCGGTTGGGAGCATCCTTTATGTGCAGGTTACAAAAGGAAAATCCCCTGCCACATGGGATCATCCAGCTCCCTTCGGCGGAGGGAACGCGGGTAGTGTTTTAAATGAGAGGCAAAGCGGTTTTTTTGGGGGGCACCCGCGGAGCACCTCTAAAGGTTTATTCCGATTTAACACAGCGCCCACGGGTGGGGCGCAGGGGTCCCCCCTCCCGGCCAGGCTGCAGGCAGGAGAACCTTAACCTCCCAGGCCCCCTT